CCCCACATCCAGCACTTAATCAGGTTGGGATTAAAAGGACCCCACCTCCACACCAAAAATGAGTGGGGTCATATTCAGCTTCCCCGCAAGATGAGGAGTTCTGGAAAACATTGTATGGAACGCTCAGAGTCCTGACCGCAACTTGCATTGGAATCTGGAATCTTATAAAAAGGGAAAATATGTGGTTAGTTCTCACATGTTTGAAACAACCTACTTGCTGAGTTTCATTAAATAGCGGCACGACGGCTCAGTGGTTAGCACTGACGCCTCACAGCAAGAAGGTCCTGGGTTCGATCCCCGGTTCGGACCTGGGGTCTTTCTGTGCGGAGTTTGCATGTTCTCCTCGTGCTTGCGTGGGTTTTCTCCGGGTACTCCGGTTTCCCCCACAACACAAAAACATGTACAATAGGTTGCCTTCAGGCCCAGGCCGCCCTTGAAAAAGAGATCTGAGATCTCAATGGGATTTGCCTGGTAAAATAACAGTAAATAATAAATAAATAAATAATAAATAAATAAAATTACATTTAAAAGTGCTTTGCTGCTTTAAAGGCAAAATGCATAAATCAACTTAACAAAAATTATGGAAATTTGTGTTTGGTAGATTATTTCTACATTGGCTGACTGACTATTTGAGATTATGTAAATGGATTATGATACAGAAACTCTGAAAATGCAAGGAGTGATATTTTAGTTAAAGCTTTCTTCTGTCTCATATACATCCATCCAAAGTTCATCTTTGCATCACCCCACTCTTTTTATCTCTGCCTTTAAGAATGGTATTTCTAGTATCCTTATTAGATAGTCTGCTTGATAGATAGCTATAAATATATATATTTTTGATAATTAATTATTTTTTATTCACCTCATAAACATGATTCTCTTTGTTAGTGCAATTTATTTATGAATGTGGTTGAGTGTAAAGCACAAGAATTTCAGTGTTATGAGAAGCCTGGATTATGAATAATGTAAAGTGCAGAAGAAAATGTTTACCTCCACTTTCCCAACGGTCTGTCTGCTCTGAACTTCATTTGATTCTTTACACTTCACTTCTAAAGGTCTTAATGCTGTGAAGAAACTGGGTCATTTTCAACAACGCATATTTTCTGTTTTTAGTTTAGGCCGCGTCCATAAATGTGGTCGATTTCTACTGTTCTGTGACTTGATAGAAGCAAGCTGTGCAGCTGTACCTTCAGTCTCTTCACCTCTGTGTCCTCTTGTAACAGAATGAATATTACTGTAGGTTAGACTTTCTGTGGAAGAACAAGTTCAAGAAGGAGTGTGAGGAGATTGAAACCATGGAAAACCTCAACCGGGTTTTGCTGGAAAACGTCCTTCCTGCACATGTTGCAGAACACTTTTTGGCTCGCAACTGGAAAAATGAGGTAGATATAATAATTGTTCATGATTAATCTACAATGTAGATTTTGCCGATGATGATTAATAGATGACAATTGCACTTGGATTTTCTCACACTCTGGGTAACGTTGGTGTTTCAGGTGATTAAATAAGTTCATAGGGTTAGTGTTATCTGCTCTGTGCTGCCTTCTACCATTGGGCTCAAATGTGCTCCTAATAGTGAAGTTGTTTCACACAAAATACATCATCACATCACACTGATTGTAATAATCATAAAGTGGCAAATATTAAATGTTGACATGTCCTGATGCATCTCAGCAATCCAGGTAGAAAAAAATCAAAAAGAAAAAAATAAGTAGGTCCTCTGGATGGGTTCTTCTTTAGTGAAACTTTTTGTCCCTCCAAGAGACTTCTTCAGTCTGATGAATTTCAGGTGAACTCAGCCTTATAAGCACTGCCTCCACCAGGACAAACAGGTTAGTTACATGCAAAAGGACCTTTTAGAGGGAAAGAGGGACAAAAACAAGGGGACATTGAACCCCCGCTTGCATTCACTACATACACATAACAAGACACGGGTCAGATGATGGGACACATGACCCTCTATGAACAATAGAACTAATCAAGCCTATTGTTAGGCGATGGCCCTCTTTTGCATGTGAATAACCTGTTTGTCCAAGTGGAGGCAGTGCTTATAAGGCTGAGTTCACCTGAAACTCACCAGACTGAAGAAGTCTCTCGGAGGAGAGACAAAACATTTCACTAAAGAAGAACCCATCCAGAGGACCTACTTATTTTTTCTTTTTGATTAAATGTTGACAATTTTTCTGATGAGGAATTACACACGATATGATTTTGCACAACCCTAGTTAGTATTGGTTTAATTTAAATAAGACAAAAAGATGTGTTTTTTTAGCAAAAAGTCTAACAAATGTTGCAAAATAACATTCTTGGGCTTATTCTTTTAAAGATGCAAATACAGTAGTTATGATTTACTCTTGGTTGTAGTTGTGCTACAAAAACCTTACCTGACATTGGTGGGGGAGAGGGGTGACATATCAGGAGAATGACAGTCCTCCTTTCTGTTACATAACATGAATACTTTTTACAGTGTCTGCTGCTGGATTTATAAATAGGTTTAGGTCATGAGGTGTTCTCAAACCTGTCAGTTTAAATGGTAACATGGCAGCTGCTGTAAAACTTAGGAATGATAAACCAGCATTTAGCTGTCTGCTCTTCTACAGGATCCAAGTTGGTGCTCTGGTCTATTTTAGAGACATTTCTACTGTATTTACTACTGGTGTGGTTTTGCTGACCCCCATTTGTTTTGTTCTTTTTTCAAAAGAAAACCATATTTCTCATCTTGAGCATAGACAGAAAGTTCTTGACGTCATTTTAAAATTTAATAAATCTGTGCTTCATCAGTGTCATCTTTAATATTGCTTTGCATCGGTTGAAGCTAACATCATTGGGGTTTTTTTGTCCTGCAGGATCTGTACCATCAGTCCTATGACGTGGTGTGCGTCATGTTTGCTTCTATCCCAGACTTTAAAGAGTTCTACACTGAATCAGATGTCAACAAGGAGGGATTAGAGTGCCTCAGGCTTCTCAACGAAATCATTGCTGACTTTGATGAGGTGAACGGCAACATTTCAACTGTTGTATCATCCTGTGTGTGCCTCAGGAATATTCGACACAAACTGCCTTATCTTTCAGTAGGTTTCACTGCAGTTCTAGCAGATGTGATCGAACTAAAGGCTCTTGTGTGAACTACAACTGCTTGTAAATAGGCTTTTGACAGACCTGTGATATTTTTTCCCCGGATTATACAAGAAAATTACAACCCCGATTCTAATGAAGTTGGGATGTTGTGTAAAACATACATAAAAACAGAATACAATGATTTGTAAATCCTTTGCAATTTATATTCATTAATTTTTTTCATTTACGTATTTTTTATTTCCATTTATATTCAAAATGAGTAAATATTGGCAATGTTTATCCATTTGAGCATTAAATATTTGTAGTGTATTCAACTGAATATAGGTTGTAAAGAATTTGCAAATCATCGTATTCTGTTTTTGTTAGCTTTTTTACACCTTCATTGGAATTGGGATTAAATGGTATAGATGTGCAACCTATGGTTGATTGCATCGCTAATGCTGTTTAATTTGCTTGAGCTATTGTGTGCATCTATTTATTTAATATACTTTTTTCTGTAGCTTCTTTCCAAACCTAAATTCAGTGGTGTTGAGAAGATCAAAACAATTGGAAGTACTTATATGGCTGCTACTGGACTGAACACATCGTCTGGAACCGAGTACACGACCCAGGTAAACACTTTTCATCAGTTCTACATCTAATACATGTGACAGTCAAAATGTTGTTTACTTTTTTTGTCAGAAAGCGTGTGATTTGTGTTTTCCTGCAGGAGCATGACAGGCAGTATATGCACATAGGAACCATGGTGGAGTTTGCGTTTGCTTTGGTGGGAAAGTTGGATGTTATCAACAAACACTCCTTCAATGACTTCAAGCTCAGAGTTGGTGAGTTGCACTGTAGATTCAGCCCTGACACTTTTTCTACTACATTGCTGTTTTTTTTCTTGCTGTTTTTAAAAGTGATTCTACTTTGAAGTTGTCGTCTTTTTATGGCTACTGATCACTTATGAAAACAGAGAATATAGAGAATATATCAAATGTTAGCTTCCCATCCTGGGATGAGAAATGTCTTCAATTACAAAACAGAAATCCAGTTTTGCGTTTTGTTTTTATTTGTTGAAGCAAAACTACTTTCAACAATCCATTAACGTGGCTACCTTGTGCAAAGATTCTGTGTGTGGAGATAATTTAACTTTGTAGAAATGACCAGAAATTCACTGGCGTATAAAATACCACTCATGTACTGAACATCATGCTGTTGGGCAGGAGAGCAGCTTCCTGTGAGCAGCAAGCACTGCTGCTTACTGACCTGCTGTAGCAGGTCTCAGCATGGGATGCTCCATTAACTCAGCAGTGTGCATGTGTGTGACTGTACACCCCTGCTGCTTCCAGACAAGGCCCAGTGTGTCCCATCAGACAGGAATACTGGTCTTCACGCACTTGAGGTGAACAGAACTAAAGGGCTCTCTTTACTCCATCTGAAGTGAAGAAGTCTGTTTGTGGTCACTAGGGCTGTGTATTGGCAAGAACTTGGCGATATGATACATATCATGACAGAGGGGTCACAATACGATATATCCCGATATTGCAATACTGTAAGCAATGCGATATATTGCCAAATATTGTGATTTTTTTTTGTCCAAAAATTCTGTTAAATCAAAAGCTCTTACTGGAAAAAAAATGAAAAACCAAAATTCATTGTCTCATAAAATTCTAATATTACATAGACATACTTTTGATACATTTAGCTGTGCTCTGCTTTGTATGTATTTTATTTTATTTGTTTCATGTTTCTTATTTCATCCATGTTTTCAGTTATTAGACTAAATATGCCAATAAATAGTTTGAAAATACATTTTTGCAGCTTTTATTTTTTAATATTAATTTACAATATGGTCACCCAACACTTAATAGCCTTTATGTTGTCATAAAGTTCAGTAAACAGGTGATATGAAGCTGCTGCACACAGAGTTTCTGGGATCAGCTGACCTGCATCCAGAACGTGATTTGCATAACTGTGGGTCGAACAGCAGGGCAGGTCCCAAAAATAAACAATAAATAAATGGAGAAGCTAAACAACACAGTTAAACCATTTTTGAAGCGAACACAGCAGGATGAACTTACAGTATATGGACTTTGATGTGATCAGCCAGACAGTGAGCAACAGACAGTTTTATGTCACGGGGGGAGTGCTGAGCTCGAGACACTAGACATATGCGCTACATATGCCTGCCTGCCTGTAACGTGGACGGGACGGCTGACTACAGCTGGAAAAAAGAGTGCATGAGACACTTAATTTGGCTTAAAATACAGACATTCTGACAAATAAGTAACTGTTCATAGCCTTACCTCAGCTTAGAAGGCAGAGGGTGTCGGTCTTCGAATCGGTCTTAGAATATCGATACAGTATCGAGAAATGAAATATCGTGATATTTCAGTGTATCGATATTTTCTTACACCCCTAGTGGTCATGTGGTTGCAACACTTTCACCATCATAGCTCATGAGACGCATAGCACAGAGCTCCTGTGAAACTCCTCCCGCTACAGTCCATGTCACAACTCATTATTTTAGTTGGCAGCCTGAGCTGTCTGCACATTAATGTGCTTAAGTCAGTCTTCAGATTTCTAGAAATTAAAATTACACTTGTAAAGAAACATGTGGTGTTTTCTAAATATAGTAAATTAGGATAAATCAGGAATGTTTTCTAACAACCTTGTTTCCTTTGTTAGGTATTAACCATGGCCCAGTGATAGCTGGAGTCATTGGAGCTCAGAAACCACAGTATGATATTTGGGGAAACACAGTAAATGTAGCCAGCAGAATGGAAAGCACTGGAGTCCTGGGAAAAATACAGGTGAGGGAAGAAAATGAGTTTCCTTTTGACTTTAGACTAAATTTAAAAATGTGCAATGGGATGTCAGTGTTACCACGACATCCAAAGCTTGACTGAAACGGGTCATAAACAAGATAATGAATGAAGCTCAGCAGAAAAAGCACAACAGAACATCTGGAAAAGAGAACCAAAGGTGTTGCAGCGTATCTGAGATGTGTGTGATTAAAGGAGAGCTGTGCAGAAACAAATCTCCTCAAACCAGAGCCTCTTAGGAAATAGGAGTCATTTCCTTCACAATCATTGAGAAGCATTTAAATTTACATTAGATTACTATTTTTTTGTGTGAATTTAAGCGTTAAAGAAAACAGTCGTGTTCTGAGAAGAAGTAATACAAAACAAAAAGATCCAATCTTAAAGTTATTTTATTATAAGTCAGGGGGTACCTTTCTAATGTTGTACTCAAATGATGACTGATGTCAGAACAAAAAGGAAAAAGTTCTTTAACGTCACATTTCAGAAAGGACATTTGTTGTAGAGATTTTCTATCAACAAAATCCGTAACCTTTTGCTTTTAGAAACACTGGATAGAGATGTTAAAATAAAATGCCTCAGTTGTGAAGAGAAGCCATTAAAAAGGTAAATACAGTTGACACTGAATTAGCTTTAGTTTTGTATGGCCAACATCACATCACAACTAAAACTGACTGCTTCTAACCATTGGAGCACCACGTCTTTAATACATTCAGACATCTTAAATGTCAACAGTCATTCAGATTAAAACTCTTTGTCCCTCTGCTCGTGCCATTTATGGCAGCATGGTCATCTCATCAATATCTTGAAATCTTCTACAGGCGTCCTGTGTGAGCACTGATAAAATAAACAGGGTTTCCAGCAGGGTACCGTGCGGCTGCAGGACCTGTTCAGATGTCAGAGAGCTGCTTTGCTTCACAGCGTAATAAAACCGTCTGCAGTTCTGCACAACTGCAGAGGTTTTGATTGGATTTAAAAGCTTTCTGATATTTTCAGATGTAAAAAGAAAACAAAGTAGAATTTTTATGTAAACATTTTCCAACTTTTATAATAGTTTTAAAACCTAGAAAGGGTGTTTTGTTTAGTGTTACTCATCAACTTCTTGTTTGGGTTCTAATAACTTTATTACCCGTTCATTACACAGTTTGCAGTTTAAACATTAGTTTTTTTTTTTTTTATAAAAGCTGTGATAAAATAAAACCGTATAAGAGAAATAATGCAGGCAGTGATGTTAGCAGACTTTGTAATGTCCAGCCACACAGTATTTAGTATTTAAGTTGTAGTAATGTCATGAAGAGTCTATTAGCAGATTGTTGTGTGGAGAGCTGAATATATGCTGGAAATAAATCCAGACCAACAACATGAACGTTAGCTGTGTGTTCCTTCCTCCCTGTAGGTGACAGAGGAAACCAGTTTCATCCTCCTGACTCTGGGCTACATGTGCTCCTGCAGAGGCATCATCAACGTCAAAGGCAAAGGAGAACTCAAGACCTTCTTTGTGCACACGGAGATGACTCGCTCGCTGTCCCAGGGGAATGTAATGCCATAAGACTGCTTCAACATCATCTTTATTTACACAGGCACAACAAACAGACCTGAGACCAAGAAGCTTTCATCTTATTGCTGTTGGAACAGAAAGACGTGTGACCCGAGGAGGAGTCAGATCTGAACTGTGAACAGAGTTTATTTTTACTTTGAAGCAATGCCACAGCTGTTGTATACGTTTAGTTACTTACAGCGAGGACCACAGCACTGAAAACATCCAGTTATTTGAACATTAGATGGAGTGATTCAGCTCAGTGAGACAGAAGAATCTCAAATTCTGTATTCTTTCTCACAATCACCCCGCCTTCTCAAAACCAATCGTTACACTTTGGTTACAAAACAACATTCAGAAGAAAATCAAGAGCAATTTGCATAAAAACTATTTAAAGTCGCGTGTCTACAGTGATTTTCAAAGCTACACTGTGTCACTGGTGTTTATAAATGTCAGAAATTGTGTGCTCCCTAAGAAGAATATTTTAAAACAGCTGATATTTAAATAGAGAAAACAGAAGACCCTTATCTTGGAAAGATACTTGTTAAGAAACAAGCTGTCAACAGCATGCCTTCCTAAACATTGGATTTACAAAATGGTTTTAAAGTTTATACTTTAATCTGTTTGCTCTGAAGTGATTAAATGTTTATCAGGTTGTCGATGCCCGCTGACAGCTGAAAATATGAAGGCAGATGCATAATGGTGGCGTGTGTAAAAAAAAAAATCAGACATTTTTAAACATTTAATTTCAGGCCAGATGTAAGTCGAATTACATTTAGAGACAGTAAAGTTGACAGGAAAGCTATTTTTAAATCTACACAGATATCTCAATTTTGAACACCATGCTCAGTTTTCTTACTAAGCTGTCCTGTCAGTTACAGCAGTATAAGATCTGTAAAATAATCTAATCCGCTGGTTATATATCAGTATAGTGAGCCCAATAGAACTACGTATAATTCTGAAACAAATTTGTGCATCAATGTGCCTTCAGAAACCTGTTGACGAGCTGTTGTGCATCCAGCCTCTGGTGTCTGTCATTTCAGTGTGAGCCAAACGCATTTCTATCATTTAAAAAGGAAAACACCGGACAGATGATTTTAATGTAAATAATTAGTTTTGGGTAGTTAGAGCCTGATTGTTGTACAGGGTAGCTTTACTGTGTATGCTAGAACTGGTTTTGTAAGAAAAGAAAATGCTACCAAAAACTACCAAAAAAGTGTTTTGATGTTTTGATGATGCCATTGATTTTTATTGTAAAAACTTAATAAAGCATTTCTATGTAGTTGTTTACCTGTAGGTTTCTTTACAAACTCCCAACAGGACTGTGCTGCCTCCGATTACATCAGCTCTCAGACGGTGATCAGTGTTCCTGATCAGCAGGAGGACAGACAAAAACTGTCTGGACTTTTCTGGGTCATTCACTGAGGCTGCAATGTTCATTTCCTCTTTAGCTTCAATCCTAAATTTAATCTCAGATTTAAATGACAAATTCTGAAGATGATCAAATTAAATACATTCAAGGTGCTGAGAATTCACTCGTCTAATCTGACAGAAATAATTATGATAAATAAGGAGAGCCTATCAAAACCCACTGTGCCCTCAGCTGGAAGGCAGACAAAGTGTTTTACATCTGTGTGGTCTTTCCTCCCCACATTGCAGCAGCTCCTTACTCTGACATGGAAACAAAAAACACTGAAGTATTGCAGTTTAAACACTGAATTGAGTCAGCTCAATTGTGAAAAATTAATATTTAATCACATTTCATTAGTTACAACAGAATTGTCATTTTGACAGATTATCTAAAGCAGAGGTGCCCAAACATTTTCCTCGAGAGGGCCAAAATGAAAATCTATCCAGGGCTGCAGGCCAAATGTGACAATATAATAAATGTGGACTTATAAAGTGTACAAATCTACATGTGTGGCTAAATCTAAGCTAAATATATCTTCTTGTTCCATGTATTTCATGTTTGATGTTTAATCTTAATATATCAAAGACAAAGTCAACCCCATGAGTGAAAACTCTGCACTACAGCCTCTTATACTCACTGAACCAATGGATAAATAATGACTTTAGGTGGAAATACTGTTACTTTAACTTCAAATAACTTTATTTATCCTAAAAGGGCAATTCAGTTCACAGCTCTCTGGTCAACATGACATGACAGCAATGTATTTTCATACAATTTAATACAATCATTTCAGCATCAGGAAAGAAAAAAACTGCTTATGTATAATAAGAAATGATTACTTTCTACATAGTACAACAAGTTACAACCAACTAACTATGGCAACTGCTGGTGGGCCAAATCAAATGGCTTGGAGGGCCAAATKTGGCCCGCGGGCCCCACTTTGGGCTCCTCTGATCTAAAGGGATCATTTGACATCACAGAGGAGAGCCACACCACGGAGGATCCAGTATTCTGGAGCAAGGGAGGTTTTGAGGTCCAGCGCTGCGATGTAATTCATGTCTGTTCTCACTGGCTTCTTGTAGACTGGGCAGGAATAGAGGCGTGGATCCTTCACACCTGTGAAATACAACACACACAATAAATAAATCTAATTTTAAAAATAGAACATGACTAATTTTATGAGATCAAAAATCAGTAGCAAATGTTTCCTAAAACTAAGTAAAACTACTTGAAGGTTATCACAGGTAAGTGTTTTCTTCCTTGCCTTTATTTTAAAGTAAATTTTCAAATTTGAATAAATACGACATCAGACGATTAGCACTACACTGGGTATCAAGTTATTTGAAAAATAGGAAACTGCAATTCAAGGAATATGACTGGAATAATGACATTTATGTTAAAAAAGCTGTAAAAGTTTGAGAGAATGATAAAGGCTAGTTTGTTGAAGAAATATACGACTGTGACATGAATTGTTGTTTGGGAAGGATCTGATATTTTTGTTAATTTTGGGAAAATATTTTCTACTTTCTGTTTCTTTTCATTTATGACTTGCACTTTGTTTTTGTTGTTTAAATTTTTTAATATTTATTTCAATGAATGGATGATTAAATACAACAATTGTTTTTTTTAAGTCAACTGTTACAAATCAAACTAAATTTTCAGTTTACTCCTCTGACAGCACTATTTTTTCAGGCATGATTGATAGTGTGGTAATTCTCAACATGATGAACTACTGGAAGCCATCAGCATAAAAACACTTTTTATTTAATTTGTCATGGCAAACAACCAGGGCTGATATTGATTCAACTGAAGCTATAACAAATTATACAAAGCAGAGTCCACAACACACATAAAACCACTCATCTACAGAAACATCCATCTAACACACTGAGCAATCTGGAACATGTATTACAACATATTCATTTATTTTTGGCCAGGCAGAGGTGCTAGCTGGTGGCTGCTGGTCAGCCATAACATTAAAACCACCTGCCAACAATGAAATCCTCCTCTTTCTGATTCTTTHGTCAAATACAAACAAGACAAACATCATTTAGCTCATTAAAAAACTAAAATAAAAAGGCAGGTTTGAAATTTTGCCTTCTCATTTTACTAACCAATGTCAACAACAAACAAGAACTTGTATATCTTGTAAACTCTGGGTTCTGAAAGCTGGGATTATATATAGTTTTATATTTAAAATCAGAAATGTGTGAAAGATTTATTAGTTTTTTTCACCTTCAAAAGCAAAATGTTTTTTGGAACTGCTGCCACAATAATCAGTTTAATCTGCTTTCATTTTATATTTGAACAAATTGAAATAAAAGTGATCTGCAAAGGATGGAGGGATTTTGTGATCACTCATGATGTGACTGTTTTATTGGTTGAAGAGACTGTTGAATCCCTCCAAACTCCTGGTAAAATCCCAGAAAATCCCCACTCTGAGCAATCTGCCAGCTCCCAGGCTGTGTTTGTTTTCATATGTTTGTGGATTTTGTGTCATTTTGATAGTTTGTCTGCAGACATGAGTCACAGTAAAAAAAAACTACATGATCAATACAAGCGGAGCAGAGTGCGCGCATTTTAACACAGTGATCAATGCTATTCACCTTAGCTCTCAGCAGTTTTCATGTTGCAGCTGATCGGTGAGTTCTGGCCTTATCTGGAACAAATACTGGACCACATACTGATGGAGATCTGTTCCCCGACGTCATAAACAGCATTAAGTCAGCTTGACATTTAAATGTTACATCCATCCAGTGACAGCGTGGGATGGGAAACCTTGCGGAGGAGTGAGACTTTAAGATCCTCTTAAGACAGGCAGGATTAGAGCTTCTGGGTTGATGCTGGAATTCTCCTTGCACCCCACCCCCCTCATCCCCTCCATGTGACGTTTTTGGCCGACAAAAAACTCACCGTTATTCTCAGCAAATATCCTGATGACCGGCATTGCCTCGAAGAGGACTTTGGGTTTGGAGTCGATGAGTTTGCAGTTGCGGCGGTCCCAGCCGGCCCCCTCCAGGTAGAGACCGTAGACATACACCCCCTCAGCGGGTGGGTGGGTGATGTCGTCCTTCATCCATTTGGTCACCTCGTTGCACAGAACCATGCGGTCCAGGGCCCAGCCCTTGGCTCGAGTGATCTCCTGTCAGGACAGAGACAAAGGTTCAGAAGCTTCGACAGCGATGCTGCAAGCAAAATGAACCATTTACATGAAAGTTTCAACAAACTCTGCTTCAATTAAGATGCAGCATTTTTTTTGAAAGAATGTTTATAATTCTTGAATAAAAGCCAGAGTTTTAAACAAATATTTTCTGATGATAAGAATAAGGGAGTTTTGGATGATTTGGTTATGTGTTGTGAATGACTCTCAGCTACTACCACATCAAATTTTAGTTCAATATCGGTAAAATTAAATGATGTGTAGCCACTTTTGTGGCTGTGTGGCCATCTTGAATTGGGTTGAGTCCAATAATTAATGTGTCTTCTGTGTTAACATTTGAACCTGTGTAAACACTTGCACTGCTTATTTACCCAAACCTTCTCCCTGAAGCTCAGTCTGCAGCCGAGCTCCCACCCCACAGAGCACCCCTCCCTCAAAGCAACACGAGAAGTGGGAGTGTAAGAAATGGTAGAAGTTTCTTAAAAAGACAGAGACCAATTTCAAATTTTTTAGATAAGACTATTGCTGCGTTCCAGTAGTCCTGGGAAGTGGTAATTTCCCTGTTTCCATTGGTAGATTTAAACTGGAACGCCCCTTCCAGTGGTAATAATCCACTGGTATAGTGGGAGAGATGAAACTGCCCCCAGTTTCGATTTCAAGATGGCGGCGACTCACAGCTTTAGAAAGTAAACTCCATAACTTTTACTATTAATTATCTTTCTTAATTTTTTGTGCATGTTTAATCACTCGCACAAGTTTTCTGTGCAATACTGTACGTGTTAAAATCAATGTTTATTTGCATGACATAGGTAGTAGAGCTCTCTTTTTTGTCACTGTTTACATTGTAGCAGTGCTGTAGCTAGGTTAGAAGCAACAATACAATCGCCTGTCAGCTAACTGGAATGCAGTTTCAAATGGTTTGTTGGGAAATGACGTCACTACCAGTTCCCGGAATACGATGTAAATGGAACGCAGCATATGATGCAGTCACTTGATGCCCTGGAGACATTACATAAACCTTTTTAGGC